TGTAGACTATACATATATATATATATATATATATACACACACACACACACATTACTAGTATACATTATGACCAATTTTGATCTAAGGTTCTTCGTCAGGCAGAAATGTTATAGTGACTCCTGATAAAAGACTTAAGATTAAAGATAGTTGCAAAGCATACGTATTAGTGAGAGCTTAAAGAACATTAGAATAGCAAACACTGAAAAATGTTTGTCAGTAGCCTATGAAGAGCTCTATATAAAAACATGAAAACATTACATTCCAATATTAGTTCTAAAATATGTGTGTACTCACCAAGTTTTGTGCAGGGTTTGACCAGTAAAGCTTTGGGGCAAGCCAATCCACAGACAAGCTTACTGCATTAGTTACATTGATGGGCTGAAGTGAGGACTGGTGAGGTGAAATACTGTATGTGAACAACTGACTGTTGTTGGTGGTTAAAAATACACGTTCTTTATACCAACTGATGCCTAGTTTCAAAAGGAAAAACAGACAAAAACATTAAATGTGAATTTTATTATGTGTTGTAAAACATAATGCCAGCTCATCCATACAATGACATGCTAATAAATGTTCAAAAAACATCAACACATCAGGTTAGTTCATCTTTACAATGTATCACCATAACATAAATATATATATATACATTATCTCCTTTTATCAGTTACAGTGTGTAAATTTTACATGTGTTTGGTGCCAAATTCTCCTAAAAATCATGTCAATCTGCTCTGAGGGTATACAAAAAATTAATGGAAATTACAGGCTAGTGCCACGATAAACAGCAGACCTCGGCCAATGTTAGTTATTAGTTATGTGGGGGGCCTATACAGATTTAAGTGCCATATACATCTTGCTTACATGTATAACAATCAGCAACTTATGCATGTTGTTTTCCACCCTATCTATATTTTGATCTGCAAATATGTATTATATATATATATATATAATTGATATTATTATTATTACTTGCCTTATACTACATCTAAACATAAACACCATTTGTAGCAATTAAACAATGCAAGTATCCTAATGCCAATAAGACAGTCTAGATATAAGTCTTTAGCAATACTTATCAAGACTTGAAAGTTAGAGATTTAAGGTTTTTTTCAATCATACTATGTTTAGTATGACTGTTACAGTAAAGTGATAATGTTGCTGGGTATTTGCATTTGAAGAGAAAAGATTAACAAAAATTAGCATGCTTAAAATTCTTTAGGGAGTGAATTTTAGCAACCAAAATTTTTTTCTAGCACCTAAAAATTCTGATAATTGTGAAGGGTGGCACTTAAAAAAAAAGAGAATTATTTTTATACAGTTAAATGAAAAACAGCTAGTAACATTAGCATATCTTCTAGGTAAAGATGTTATGAAAGCAAGAGAGCAAGACTTTTGTAAAAAGTGATTCATTCCAAGCTGACATCTTTAAAAGTATTAAACCCATAGTAACACACTACCAGTTGTTGTGGGTTGAATATTATTAAGCACATCCTATTAGTTTAATCTGCTCTTTGAATTAACAACTCCTTCTTTACTTACTTTAGATAAGAAAGACTCAAAAACACCACTGCTTTTTACAAATGATGTGCATTAATTACAAAAGTAAAAGCCATTAAAAACATTGCTATTACATAACAGTTGACTTATTTTAAAGTCCAGAAATTTAATTACTGAAAACACCAAAATCTTCTACTAACTTGGTCCATGTTAACTGTAAAACAAGTACTGTCATTAATGTCAATTAACTTTGAAGTTTATTATGACATACATTTGGCAAAAGTTTCAAAATACTCAATTATTTTTTAACAAAATACAAAGATTAAGTTTTTCTTTAGAACTAATTTCTTGTGAGAACATTTACTAAGCCTACCTGTCACAATGGAACCTTTAAGATGGATTTTATGAATTAAAGGTTGTACATCATCACCCATGATGTTAGATTTTAGTAGCCCTTCTTTGGCACTCCACAAGATATATGGTGAAAACCCCTCGGGTTCTGTGAAAGAATCCACATCAGACTGGTTGCTATAATACATTCTCATTAACAATAACAATCAGATTAATTAAAAGCCACTACTATCAACAGGACATTAAGTAACTAATAGTATTTTGTTTTCCTGACACTGCACACACGGTGTAACTGCAGCAGCCACATATACATACATGATTATGCACAGTACATTAGACAAATCCTCTTACAACAAGCTGCACGAGTTTTAGGCTGAATTATAGCTGAATGTCACCAGAGAATATTATCTGCCTGTGGTGAGCTGTTGACAGGAAAAAGTTCAAATGAGGTTGTTAAAATTCACATTAAAAACTAAGTTACCGTTATAAAATAAAGAACTTTCAGGTTCAGTACTATTAACTTGTTTGATTGTTGTGGCACTTAACTACTTGTCGACCACTCTTTGCACTTAAATCATTAAAATTCTGAAGCACCTAACTATAGGACAAAATTAGTTTCTAACTATACAAGATATCTTTATTTTTCACAAGCACAATACAAATTACTATCATCACTGTCTATCATGTGTCCTTTGGTTAAGAGTTCTACAAAAGTTCTAACTTATAAAAATAAGGTAAATAAACTTGTAATTGAGAAACATAAGTTGTACTTATCTTTACAAATATATATATTTTTTTCAACACAGGCAAAGTTGAGTCAATTTTCTGTAAAAGACATATATTTAATCTGTTGACTAAATTACCTTGTTCTTATTTTACCACCCCCCCCCCCCCCCGTAGGTGGGTCAGCAGTAAGTCTGAGGGTTTAGAGCTTTTATAATGTTCTATAAAATGTTTATTATCTTTCTCAGGTACAACAAGCATCCTTGAATAGATACGAGGTGAATAATGAAATATCTTGTAATTTCTTTTCAACTTAAACACTTCCTTTTGCAAATGTTTGATTTAGGTTTAATACAAAAAGTGTTGCACCATTTTGTGGTACAAATTCAATTCTAAAACTAAGTAATTCAAACTTTCAATCAATCATCCTCAGACTTTTCATTTAATTCTCCTGATTTCATTGAAACTCTGCACGGATGTTGTCAGTTTAGTAGATATTTTCCTAACTTGCACACTAAAGTTAGATTCTAGGGCCTGCAGCGAATTAAACTGAAACTGCACTGAAGTTACCTCTCATTAAAAATTAATTTTTTTACTTTTAATTGATTAATTAAAAAACTTGTCATTCTTAATAAGTCTTGTAATTACTGTGCTCACATTTTCTTTTAGTTTCATATTGCACATAAGATATCATTACCCATGACTAGGCCCCCCAGTGGCACAGAGGTATGTTTGCAGACTTACAATGCTAGAAACATTGTGCAACTTTGTACTTAACTATTAACAAACAAATCCATGACTGGCTGAGGAAAACATTTTCGAATGTGCTTATTCCCTGGGACTAGTGAAATTCAAAATGTACTTGTCCCCTTCCTACTTTTGCTTGTCCCATTGAAGTCAACAAATGCAAAGCTATTTTTACAAACTGTTAATTTAATTTGGCTTCAAACAAAGTCTCATAATGTATACAAATGTGGTAATATTCCCTCAACATAGAGCTGATGAAGAACTTAGTATGGAGCCTGAAACATCACCAACAAATCAGAAACTGAAAACAGGTTTAATGGTCTGTTACTGTAGTTAGTTACTTTGGTCTGTTACTTTGATTTCTTAAGTATGTACTAGAGACAAGTATTTAACTAAACTACTTATTCAAACCATCAATTAACAGCAAAATTGCAAGAAAATACTTCAAAGAAAGAATTATATATTTGATTTATAAGTTACTTGACTTATGAAAGAAGTATCTCTAGCTGCATTTCATTACTTGCTTTTTATTATAGAAGTAAAACTTACCCTGTTTCATCGTTTTGCCTCTGAACTCTGTTGACCAAGGACCAGCTCCACCACGACTGTATGCTCGAACCTTAACAGAATAGACTGTAGCAGGTAGTAAGCCATCCACGACAAACATAAGTGTAGTTATGTTTTTTATTACAATGCTTCTGCCTGAAGTGAGCTCCTTAATGATTATTTCATATAACCAGTTTTGCCATGCTCCTTTGCCTGAAATATAAAATAATTCTGTATAATTAAACTTCTTAGAGACTCTGTTAATTTTTTATAACCAGTCTTTTTCAAGGAACTTTGTATAAACAGTCTTAACAATTGTTTTGCCAGCAAAAAATACAGTTGTAAACAGCTTTTTGTAAAAGATTTCTTGCTCAATAATTAAAGTTAGCTTTATATGTGCAGTTTGTGTGTGTATATATGTATATACACATACATACGTGCACTTTGCCTATACCAAGTGCCAAGTTGAACATAAAACTTTGAAACACTTGTTTTACAATGTAATTACATTTAAAATGCAATAATATTTGCAAAGTTCTTGAGCCACATGATTAAGGATTGTTGCAGGATCCAATTTACTATTTATACTGGACTTAGCACACACTATTTTATCACAGGTGAATTCTAGTATTTCCTAATTGAAGGTTACATAATCTCCCAAAGATACAGTTAATATAAGCAACATTTTCCTTAACATCACTATAACTTATAAAAAATAAAATACAAGAAATTCCAAAGTTGGGTCAAAATAACCTTTCAATTAGTTTCATGAAATAACAAAATGTAATAAATCAATCAAATTATGTAATAATCAAGTTATAAAATTTGTAGTAAATCAACTTTACCAAAATATAAATGTATCAGAATCATTTTCACATCAACAGTATTCCCATACCTCCTTCTCTGCATGATTAAATAACTTTATATAACCAGTTTTGCCAAGTTCTGTCCTCACAAGATAACTTTTATATCATAGCAATTAATATTAGATATCTTTTAAGTCAAAAGAAGCTCCAGGAGTGGGATTTGAGCTCAGGACTGGAGACGAACAAGGTCAAAGTTCTAACCACTGAGCTACCCAGGAGTGCAAGAGATATCCATCAATGTTCACTTATAAAGCTTCCCACCTTGGGTACAATGACCATACCAAGTTATAATAGGTACAAAGACCAAATCATTTTTATTTGTATATATAACTTTGCTGTTTTTATCCACAAAATGAGTTAACTCAAAGTTCTTACATCATAAAGATTAGACATCTTTAATATATTCAATCTTGTTCTACCAGGCTTGCTTTTATCCCATTATCAGTTACTTTTTTCATCAGTGTTGTAAGTGTGGTATCTTTAGGTGAAACCAATTTTCCTTAGAGCAATGGCATAAGTCTGCTGAATAATAGCAGATTGAACAAGATACTAGATACAAAGTAATTCTGAGTTATCTGATTTGAATGAGTTTATGAAAGAGACTGAACACAAGGTAGAAAACACAGTGAAAACAAATATTTATTTAAATTCAAAAACGAATAACATATGTGGGTACTGGATGAAGAACAGTACCTTTACTAGATAACTAACTCTCTAAACTTTTCTAAAAACCTATTATGTTGTTTAATAAGAATTAGTTCATTTTACAGGATAAACTTTAGAAGAGTATTATTATTTATAGAAAGAAGTTAAACTTCACTTGTTGTACTGAGGGTTTAAGCTTGAGAGAGAGAGAGATGCTAACTTAGAGATCACAGTATTATATACCAAAATCTAAGATACTATGTCTTCAGGTACAGCATATTCTTCCATCTGAAAAAGAAAACTGTAAGAGCAAGCAGCAACTCTCAGAAAATTGGTCTGAAAGTTAACACCAACAAGACAAAGTTGATGAAGATTAATGCAACATCACAGACACAGCTACAAGTAAATTGGCAAGAAGTAGAAGTCATAAGTCAGTTTACATACCTGAGAAACATAGTTGAGAAGCAGGGAGGAATAGATGTTGATGTAGATATTTGGATCAACACAGCTAGATATGCATTTGTTCAACTAAAACCATTGTGAAGATCTCAAGATTTTTCTCAAGACCAAGCTGTGGCTCTTCAATAACATTGTTAAAATCCACATTATTCTATGGATCAGACTGCATGAAAACAACCAAATAAACTGCCAGAAAGCTACTTTAGATGCTTTAGGATAACTCTTATAGTACAATGGTCCACAAAGACCTTAAAGAAGTGAAAAGAAGGACAGGAAGACATCGTGATGGAGATCACTAAAAAAAAGATGGATGTAGATATGCCATGTGCTAAGGAAAGAACAGAACAGCATAACAAAAGAGGCTCAGTTCTGGAATCTTGAGGGGAAAAGAAGAAAAGGAAGTCCAAAAAACAACATGGATAAGGTCAATCAAAACGAAATTGATATCCAAGGAAAAGCTGACCTTGGAACAGGCCAAAGACAGAGTATGCTGGCAAAACCTTTTGAAGGCCTTATGCATCACTTGGTGAAAAGAGGATTAAGTGAATTAAATAAGTACTATTCTTAGGACATGTGCACCACCTATATCACTGTTGATCACTCCCATTGAAACATAAGGGAGGTTATAACCTTAAGGCACTACCACTAGGGGGCAGTGTTGTTGACATCCTTTCCCAATGTGCAGTATTACAGCCATACCTTCATGGACAGACCAGGTGTTAAATTAAGAAAATGACGAAGGTAACTAGAACAAAACCAAGTTAATGACTTTTTTGATCACATGATATGTGAATACTGCACATACCATAATAACAGAAAAAATGTAAAATAATACTATATCAAAATACGGAGGTAGAAAATGCATAGTATGGTTATATACCACATAAGGTTTCTGTATCTATAAGAATAGGTAATTTTAAAAACTGGACTTTTCAACGCTTTTATCTACAAAATTAGATAACTCTATATTTCCAGTGTATCAAATCAAATATAATGTTCTATAGTATGATGTTGTGAAGTACATCAATTTACAATAAAAGGCAACCTTGTATATCCAGTCTTTCTAATTCCACTTGCATATATTTGCTAGATAAGCAACATATGTTTGTATCTCAGAATGTCATTCCAGTACTCGTTATTTATAGCTACTTACAGATGTTGTACAAACAATACTTTGCTGGAATATTTTTCTTAAAAGTTTAAAACTTATTGTTAAAGGACAGCATGCATACAATAGCATTAAAGAATACTGCCTTAAAAACTTTGCTGTTGATTTTACTTTATTTAATAAAGCATTTATTCAAACAAACATTGAGTTAAATGGAAAAATAGGTATTCACTTGGAAGGTTTGAGATAAAGATTTTAGAAATCAATATTTCACAACTATTTGAAACAAAACTTATGTATTACGATATTTAAAAATGTGTTATATATAAATAACATAACTTATCAATACCTCCTAAAAGTCTTGGCTTTCCCCATGAAATGTTTGCCTGTTTCTCATGAAAAATAGCCTGTACTCCTTCTACTGGGTTGACTGGAACTATTCAAGCATGAAAAACATTTACTTTACAAAAACTTTATCAATGAAAAATACTAATAGTGAAAAAGACAGTTAAAATACAATAAACAATTAATAAGTCAATATCTAACTTTTGCTTCACACACAGACAAAGTATCCAATAGTGTACTCTAATTTTACTATGACCTTGACTTGGAGCTATTATAACTAAAACTGTGTGGAATTGTTTCCAGACAATATTAAAATATGTTAAATAATTTCTTCTTTTAAAACACCAATTTCTACACCTCATGTGAGAAAAATAGGAAGAAAAGTATGACTGCTATGTTATCCAAGCAAATGTCTGTGACATATAAGTTTAAAAACAACTGTTAATACAACATTATAAAGACTGTATTTTACCTTTCTTTTATTACATATGTGAGTTATACATCTAATGTTCTATCAGCTGGATTACTTACTTCGAATTATTTATGGAATTCAGTTTGGTTAATATCCAATAGTCCTCCATTTTTAAATATAAAAAACCAAGTTTATTTCGAGACTGGTGTTCTTCCTTTTTTGCATATCTTAATTATCATATGTCAAGCATTTAAACTGGCAAGAATTATATAACTGAATCCTAATAGCACTCATGTTTCAATAAATCAATAACCATAAGGTCAAAACATTTTAGTTTTTTCTTAACGGTATTAACTAAACTTAGATTTCTTATTATATACCTTGTAATTTACTGAAAGGGTAAATGATGTAAATAATCCTGTGCTACTGATTATAAATCTATATAAACATTCTGTGTACATAAAACAAAAAGGAACATCATGAAATAAATTAGCTGAGCTACAGTTAATAAAAGTAGTAAAGCTCAATGAAGTAAATATGCTGTACTAGAGAAGAAAAAGGTGCTGGGTTCCAGGTCAGTGATTTACTGAGTTTGGTGAAAGAAATGTGCTGAGCTAAAAGAAAATAGAAGTGCCAAACTACAGAAGAGAGATATATACTAAGCACCATGAAAAAACTTCTTGTTGCATAATATGTTTCTTCTTTAGCTCAGTACATCTACTTCCTGGAAGTCAGAAGAATTCTTCCCATTTCAACACAGTGCTCATTTCATCTACTATTATACTTCTCTTTATAGCATAATGCATCTGTTTTTTTTTAGCCTAGCACATATTTTTTACAGAGCTTAGAACATCACTCTTTTGGAGCTTAAAACATCACTCTTTTGGAGCTTAAAACATCACTATTATTATAGCAAATTAAGTAGTAATATTGCTTTTTTAGTTCAGCACATCATTTTTATTAAGTAAGAACCTTGTTTTTTTAGTTTAACAGATCATTTTTATGAAGTAAGAACATTGCTTTTTTTAGTTCAGCACATCTTTTCTATAGCACTCTCTCATAAAAATGATGTGTTAAACTAAAAAAACAAGGTTCTGAATTACAAAACAGAGAGGTGTTGACCTATTAAATAAATAGAGGAACAGAAAAGTACTTAGCTAAAAGAAAAGAGTACTGAGCTATAAAACAAAGAAGTGTTCAGTTAATGAACAAATGTATGGAGCTAAAGTAAAGATATACTGAGGGACAGAAGGGAAATGAACCAAGATAAAGGTAAAAATGTAATGAGATCCATACGGCATTGATAGATTTTTTTCATAATTAAGCTAACAATAGCTTAATATACATATTAAGTTGGATTGTAGAAGGAAAACAATTTTTCAAGAAAATCTGTCCTTTAGCCTTTACTTATGACCTGAAGTAAACATATAGTGATGTTACTTTGAAACTGTGCTTTGTTTCTTCAGTTTTAAAAACCTATATTAGGCTATTTGAATAAACAGCATTAGTTCATGATGATACTATGACACATATTACATCTCCAACAGTTGTAAAAAGATCACAAAGTGTATAATCAGTACATTTATTACAAAACACAAGAAAAACGGCAAATTACTGTAAGCTCAGATGTTGACCCAAAACCAATAGGTCATATGTACTATGTTAGGGAAGACATGTTACAATCTGTTTTGCTTTTTTCGATGGACAATAGAATTCTGGGGTAGATCACCGATAATTAACGATCCCTATTATGTAAAACAATAATAAAGAGAGTAGTATGAAAAATGACATTTCTTTATGATGAAAGCAGAATGTCTTAGATTAACATCAGTAATTTTCTCTCTCAATAGAATTTTATTTTTGGAACAACTAAGAATAAATTAGTTGTCGCATACCTGGCCAAGGCTGAATGTCAGAATGTAGTATGGTAAGTGAAATAAATGGTGTTTCATCTGCATCAAATGTGTACTTATTATGATAGTACTTCTTCTCTTCTCTATGATATTCTTCACACAATACGGCTGATCCTGTGGTCCAATAAAAGAGTTTGTTATACAGAGCAATGCTCTTAACTTGCTGAAACTTAGGCTGCTGGAGGTTATTTCTGATGTGCTGTTGTTCAGAGCCCTCAAGAGACATGGAAATAACAGTGTTTTGATCTGGAAAAGGTACCAAAAGACGATAGTTCTTATGGTCTAAGGTTAAAGTAGTTAGTGTTGAGTTCTTCAATATTTGATCACAGTCTTTTTCATTTACAGATTGTGTGGCTATCTTGTCAAGGCCAATTCTGTAAAGTCCTCCTTCTGAATCACTCGTCCAAATCCAGTATAAATACCTGTTAACAAAAGGTTCCTTTACTAAAAGTTGTTTTAATACTTTGGTTTCTACCTCAGATGAAGTATTTTAAAAGTTCTTTTATAAACAAGTTACTATAACTATTTCAATAATATTTTAAAGTAATAAATACATTAATACAGGCTATTCTTAAAATTTTATTATAAGAAAATAATAGTTATAAAGTTAGCCGAGATTTCCCTAGTTGTTATATGAACCTGACATAAAATAACAAAGAAATTAGTTACAGAGTTTATTCATAAATATGCATTAACTATTCTGAGTGATAAAATATATCACAAACATATGTATTAGATTACTCATATCCTGACATTCAAAATAAAAGAACAGGTGAACTTCTAAATACCCACTGAAAAATTACAAAACAAATGCAATGTTGTATTTACCCTCCATTTATTTTTACAAATAGACCAACTTAAGTATGGAAGATATATATATATATATATATTATCTTCTTAAATTTAAAGTATAAAAGTACGCTCAATACTATTATTATTTTACTTAATATGAAATGGAACAGTGCAAATCTCATCTGATACTGTACATGTAAACAAAAGCTTGGTGAGGGTCAATGACCGGAACATAATATTGTAAAATTGTACCTTACTATTTCTAGACAACAAAATGTTGATTTATAAAAAATATTATGATATACATATATACTTAAACCCAACAAAACATGTGAAGCTGAACTAAAACAATATGTATATACACACATATACACCTAACTCATTTAATTATTCAAAATAATGAATCTTATTTCAACATTTTACTGTTTATTAATTCAGATTAAGTTAAGAAAACTTCATAGTAATCAATACTAAAAAACATAAAGTGACTATTAGACCAGGAATTGAACCCAAGAATTCTAGCTTATAGGACTGATTTCCTGTTATTTAAGTTAGCTGGAAATTATACTCAAACACACTCCACTTCTGCTATCATAATTCTTCCTTCTCATAAAATGGTTTCCAAAGAGTAATACATAAAATTACAATTATTATGCCAAAAATAAGAAGTTCACATTCCAATTTTTAAAACACATTTTCAATTAAGAGTTTAGTTCATAGAATGGCTTGGTTAAGAACAGTTGTGTGCTGTAACATGATCATAATTTAAAATGCACAAAATTAGCTATTTCAAAATGTTTATGAAATGGAGTGTTTCAATGCTTGTATAATAAGAATCCACATTGTAAATTGTATAAAGATCAAACATTATGCATATTATAGTTTAAAATGTCCAATAAAAAAAAACTATATGAGAAAAGAATGGTATAAAAATTAAACATATCACTAACTGAAATAGTCAGTTGTCTAACAGTTTAATAATTGTGTCAACTGTACAAAGTATTAAAGTGCAAAAAAAAATGTACACAGATAGCATACACTGTGCATTTCAAATGCTTTAAAGTCTAACTAATTACAGAGAGCAAGAATCAGCTCATTATCAGTAATATTATTAATAATATAGCTTGTTCAAAACAGATAATTAAAAAACCCAATATAACACAAAAACAAGCAGCTTAGCACTTGATGGCATAAACGTTTGACTCAGTTGTTTTAAAGTCAGAATTCAAAGAACTCAGTATAAACATTCAGTCCAACACAAATTAAGGTCAGTCATAAATTAATAATATCATTACTGCTACAAATAAAATACCCTCAATTAAAGACAATGTTTTGGGTCTTAGATTTGTAAATGTACCTTGTACTCACCCATTATAAGGATCAACATGCACACAGGTTGCTCTTGTCTTGAAACCAAACACCACAACTTTACACAAACCCCCATACAAATCACATCTGCTAATCTGAAAAAAGTGTGTTTGAACTTCTTCAAAATAACCTCATAGTATGTTGAAAAACAATGAAGTTTATGGTTTAACCAAGAAAAAAAATCTGATTTAAGAAGCACCTTGATGTATTTTTTTAACTTTTTGTGAGCAGTTGTTATTATATTTATTAAATTAATTGATACAACACCAACAGATTATTGTATTTTTAAATACTCAAAATAACTTAACAAAATAAGCGGATAGATAAAATTCATAGAAATATTTAAGACACTGATGGCATAAATGTTTGACTCAGTTGTTTTAAAGTCAGAATTCAAAGAACTCAGTATAAACATTCAGTCCAACACAAAGTAAGGTCAGTCAGAAATGTTTAAAAGACTGGGACTAAATTGACTTTACATTTTCTTAGGTGCTGCCTGCTTTACGAAAAAGTCTTCTAATAGACTATGGTCAAGAATCAGTTATAACAAAGTACATTAGGTTACAGGAGATACAAAAGTATATGGGTTAAAAACTTCCAATAAAAATCATTCTTAAAAGTATGTGCAATTTTCCATTACATTCGGTGTATCCTTGTAAATATAAAGGATTTAAAAACTTGACTATATTATTCATGGTACATGCTATTTTATCAGTTATTACAGTCTGGTTCTTCACCTTATTTTCCTCTACCATATAAACCAAATCATTCAGCCAGTCAACAGAAAGGCTAGAAGGAAGAGTGCTTCTTCGATTAGTGATGGTCTTCAGTTCCCTTCCATCTGAAGAGATTTTCCGGATGTTTCCGGAACTATCAGAAAATATAATGAAATCCTGGTCAACATGAAGACCAACACCTATAATAAACAAAAATAAAAATTAGAGATTAAAGTTAGGGAAAAAGCTGTATATCGTGTTAATAAGTTATGGACATCATTCTACTTGGATTAAATATAATGAGCTTGAAATATCAATGCATGAACAAAATAACTTATCAACTATAAGTACTATAATTCCTGAAACAAAAATTCACAGAAAGGATCGGAGATTATAATTTCAAATTTTTAAAGAACTGCTTTGTTTAATTCTTGTTAGATAACCAGTTTCAGTTAAACTGTTTAGAGCTTCAAACATTGCAACAAGAATGGCTATAATGACTTCATGTACATCTTCACTACAATTCAAAAAATGAAACTAAGTAATTTATCAGAAATTTTAAGTGTATAAAATTTAGCACGTTATAGAATTAGTTATGTTCATCAATAAACTTAATTTCTTTAATTGTCACATAGTTATAAATAATTATTTGCTCTTATATAGAGTATTTATTATTAATAAAACATTTGTAATAACTCCTTCACTCAAACAAAAAGAGCTATGGATGATCTTGGTACATGTTATTATAGGTATGAGTTTGAATTCTACTTGAATCAAGAACAAACATTTTATTTTATAAGGAAATGTACTTTATAGTTTGAAGGCTATTTTGAAATAAATGATCACAATGGCCGGAGTTTGAGGTTTTGCATACCTCTTTCATTAAGTGATACAATTTTTGGTAATTTTAAGTATCATCTCTAACAATTTTACAATTTGCCAACAGTTATTTACTTATTTTGACAGTTATTAAAAAAGATATCAAGTATTATATGAATTACACACAGAGATTGGTTCATTACAAGTGTCAAAATATACCTCTGGTTCACTCAGAAATATGATTGCATTTAACTTTGTAGGTGAAATGTTTTACAATGTACAAAACTCTGTTGATTCAGATGAATATCAAAATGGTCAAAAAGTATTCCATAAATAATAGAACAAACATTTATTTTCATGAAGCATTCACATACTCTATTTTGCATTTATGTTATACGAGTTTTGGTGTTTCTGAGGAAAAGTAAAATTTCAGGACTGATGTTGTTACTAAATTACTGAAATACTCCGTCAAATGTTTAGATCAGTTTGCTATAAAAATAATGGAACACATACCGAGTTATTTTGATATTCAGAAGAAATTACTCTCATTACTATTATTTTACAGAAGCTAATAAATTATTGAAATGCATTACAAAATATGAAAAATTTACACTACTCGCTCTGAAACTTACCCCTCACAAACAATGATTCGTTTGTGCTATGATACAATACTTTGTAATCATTCCATATTTTCAATCCTTGTTTCAAGATTTTCTGCTGAGATCCCAAAATCAAATATGGAGTTGATTCTATGTTATCTATATTTACAAGGAGAAAAAGTAACCTTCAGTAAATTGTTCAAATTGTTTAGTTTTTGGTGTATATTTTATCCTATTCAAAAACAACAACAACAACAAAAATATTCAGTAATTATGCAAAGATTATATAACGTAACTAAGTTGAAGGATATTTTTGACGAAAAGTCAGTATACAAACCAGCTGTTTTTGGTATTGGCAAAGTAGAAATATTCCTGGAGTCTGCAGGTCCTTCACCCATGTTATTTATTGTTGCCACAGATACCTGGTAACTTGTGTTGGGACGGAGATTGGTGAATATATAGTATAATTGATTTCCACTACCTGATATATCCTGAAAAACAAAAGTAAGATGCTATACTACTGTGAACTGATAACCTAAATCCAATATATCCTGCTTCAGTCACATTTGTTTATGTATTATACATTCATAATCCAATTATATTTTGTATTTGTTTACATACAGCTTACGTTACGTTACTTTCAGAGTTCAAACAGGAAGTCTTAAAACTATCTTTTTTCTAATAAAGTCTAACATATTTAATCATTTTTAATTTATTTAAAACAATCTATTGTTCTTGAAATCTATATGAGTTGGTATTTATTACTCAGCCTCTCAAATCATTATAAAGCAAGGAGTGAGATAGCTTAAGCTAAATTTTAGCATATGTACTATAATATGTATTAATTTTATTTAAATTCTTAAAATCATATAGAAAATCTTTGAAAACTAACAATTTGAGAAAATAAGCTTTATATTACTGGCAAACATTTCAAAACTTCCGTAAATAAAAATTTTATATTTTATGCTTAGAGATACAATTTATGGGAAATTCATTACAGAAAGTGATCAAAACTTTGTATAACTATAAAATATGAAGGAATATAAAGATCTTTAAATCTACTAATTTCTAAATAAGCTTAATTTTTTTCACAAGAAACATAAATCCTTTAAAACGCTCAAACTGCACTAACCAAATGTAAACCTTCTTAGATAATCAAATGCTCTTTAACGTTATTAGCTTTCTAACATCCTGAAAAAATTTTTATTTATTACTATGTACATATTTATACCAGTTTTAAGAACTACCTTTACAGATGGTATTCCACTCGGTTGTTCACGAAGATACAGAACATAAGAAACAATTGGTCCATTTGGAAAAAGAGGTGGGTCCCAACTCACAGCAATTCTGGTTGGTCCCACAGCTGTCAGAGTGTTGATTAATGGAGATGGAGAAGGCACTAAATAATAAACATATTCAAAATTCCTACAGTTCTATGTTTTTGCCAAACGGCGAGGAACATAAATAAAAAGCTTATAAAAACCTGAAATAAACTTTAAACTAACAGTGTGTATCTTTGTATTCTAAAAATGTAACAGTACTATATGCAGTGTATTTGTGAAGGTCCATCAACTGAATATTGTAACTTTGATATAGTGGTTTCAAACAAATCTTCAGTTTACATTACTAATTAATTCTATTTGGAGCAAATGTACAAAATAAAACAGTATAAGCTGCCCAAAATAAAATAATCTAAGCATCTGAAAATACTAGAACAAAGCAACGTTGAAAGAAAGATAAAAAAATAGAAACAAATAGAAAACAAAAAAGAAACTTGGAAATCCCACCTACTGACCAGCCTTTTTTAATAATTTCAAATGACTAAAAATGTGAATAGTAGTTAAAAGTACAATCATAATGTTTTGGCAAGTTAACTTAGCATCATTAGTTTTTGTTTTTCATATATCCTTTATTCTGTTTCTTCTTTTGTTAGGATTTGTTTTTCTGTTTTATATACATTAAAGGCCTTTTTTTTTTCTTTATATTGCATTTATGGTGAAAATTTAAAACATAAGACTAAATTTCTAGCAAATTGTAGTGTTGTTTTCAACAACTAAATAATATATATAATATCTATTTCTTTAGTAAGTTTCTATTATTGAAAACTGTGAACAAAATATTTTATTTTCTTGTATAATTCATTTCCTTAACACAGACTTGAAAGAATATTTTTTTTTTCATATTTAAATGCAAAAATACATTATTTGAGGAAGATTAGTGAAACAAAAGACTGCTTATAAAAATTATGAGAATCACAGTAATACATTTAATGATATATAATGTTATGGGATAATTTCATGAAATACTTAGACACATGATGTGTTCATTTAAAGCTATTTGCACTAAATATGATAATGAACTGTATGATCTAATATCAAAATCACCATAAAAAATGGATCAAAATAGTTAGTATTAAGTAAGATTAGCTGTATAAAAGAATGGAGTTATTAAGTGTTTTGTTTAAAAAATAAAAGGAAAATTTTTGTAACTTCAACAGTGATATATAAAACATCTTTAAGAAGTTTCATAAACGACTTCAATATACTTGAACTTCAGGATAAAATGTATAACACATTTGAAAACAAAATATTAATACTCGTAAGAATTTTTTGAGAACACTAACCAAGTACTTTAGATTATTTTGCTAAATTGAAAAAAATAACTACTGTAAAATGTGTTTAGTTCTAAATGTTTTTAAAAACAGCAACTTGTACTCACCTCCATAAGGTAAAGTTGAAATAATAACACTTTCTTCAGAAAATAATGGTGAATACTGAGGTAGTATAACCCAAGCCACTCGAAACTATAACAAAAAACATCTTGTAAACATTATGCATTTAGCCTTGATTCCATGTTCCAGTACTTCTCCAAAGTACTTTACAGCCAAAATCATTAACTTCCAAAGATCAAGGCTTTCTAGCAGGTTAAATTCTTTTCAGTAACATAGTTGTATTTCCCAAGGGGGAGGGAGGTCAAGAGATTCTGCATGATTTCTCATCAGAGTGCTCTGTTACTCATCCATATATAAACTTAATTGCAATCTAAATAAGGAGTTGACAAGGGTTGAGTGTTTACACTGTTTATGACCCTTTGACAGCATGTACTTACAGCATGCCACTTGTTGATTCTTTGAGTTTTTATCAATAGGCGAAATGTAAAACATCAGTATCTTAATATTTCTGAAGAACTATCAGTCTACCACAAAATACTTCAGATCAAAGCTTTTATGATATCTTTAAGCTTGACAATAAAACTTGTGTGATTTCTACAGTCAACATATGCTTCAAAGAAGTGGCTGGGCTTTATATAAAAAATAAAAATGTGTACAGAAAAATTGTTAGCAGACAAACTGAAAATACAAAGTAAAAAAGAAGTAATTAATATATAATGTGCTTTACTAAATATATACTTGAAAATTCAAAGATAATGCTTTTTAATCACTTCCTTTAAATGAAAAAATGAGGAGCATATCAATTTACAGTTGTTAATTTCTCCCTTTTCATATTTTGTTCCTTTTGAAGTTGACCCACATAAAGATTTGAACATTCTTATCACATCATAAAAAAAACAGTGTTATCCCACCTTATTTCCCCATCTCATCATTATGAATGTTACAAAACATACTTCTAAGTGTGAACTAGTATATAAATAACTCAAAAATGAAATTTTCAGTACTATGCATAAGCTTATTTTTAACATTAAAATTCATAAATATACAAAATATTCCAATTACATTCTTTGACAGCAAAAAAAAGTCTACAAAGGTAGGTCCTTCCACTGAACATATAGTTTCAATCTTTGTACATGAAAATCAACCTCATGTTAAAAAAAAAATAAGTTTTTACTTTTTAAAATTTTAGACATTTTGATTGTTTGTTTGTTAGTATTTAAAATATTACATAATTACAGTCATTTTCATGTATCATGCAACTGGCAATGCCGGGTAAGCAGCTGAAAGTACTTCTGATAAAGCAAATCACAAATTTAGAATTCATGACTGAATTTCTGGCATCAGTATATGATTCATTTATGTACAATTCTAACTATAGCAATATAATTCCTAGTGTTGCTTAAACTGTTGGAATTAGAAAGGGAGCTGTACACCAAACAATCACCTATATTCTTATGGAGGTTTGTAAGAAAGTTTAAGTTGTCAGTAAAAGTAATATAAGCAGTATAATATAAGTAGCCAAGAGAGCTATAATATTTTTTTTAATTTCTACCAACGTAACTTGAATTTTGTTTTTATGCAAGCAATACTGGGACCCTACACATTTTCCACTTAAATCATTCTTTTGTTGTACTGCTATTTTATCAATAAAAATGCATAATATGTGTTGAACAACCTTTTTAAAATTGTCGTTATTAATGAATTAAGTGAAGAAAAATAACAGCTGAACAATTTTTTAAAGCTTCCCTTATATTCTATTTCATTTGAAGAAAAAAGTAATTATAAAATGATTGGGAAACTTCTTCCGAACAAACCCCACGCCATGAGGAGGTTTATCTAACCTTTAAGAAGCTTAGTAAAGGAGACTGGGGGAGTTGTAACTGTTCAATGTTGATTCTCAAAAGTCACTTGATACTGGGAAAACCCTTAATGGTTGGAAAATTGCCAATGTAATCAGCATTTAAAAACAATACTAGAAAAATTCCTTATCACTGTAAAAATTGTTAATGTAATCACTATTTTAAGATATAGAAGGAGCTGGGAAATTAAAAGCCAATTAGTTTGACTCTTATTTTATTTATTTACATCTTTTTTTTTTAAGTATCTAGAAAGTTGGCACTTAATAAACCAATCTTGTATACCTTGATCTTTAAAAATTCTTTCACAAACATCCCAAAAATATGTTACTTATAAAATTAAATTCTGATTGAAATGATACAAAAGTGAAGAAATCAATAGAAAAATGTATTATATTAGTAGAAGACATAGGGCAATAATACATTGACATTTATTATCTGATAGAGTTTGAAAAATGTTTATTGATACATCAAGATATGGATATATGGAAAGAATTAACCTTTTCTTTCAGAGAAGCATTAAAGATGTGAAAAAGAAAGTCTTAGGACATCATGCAATTTCTCATGTTCTACAATATCCATTTAAAAAAATATATATTTATATTAGATATTTATGAGAATCTGTAGTATTATGGGATTTAATAAGTAAATAAACAGAAATTTTGAGGTATCATTTATTTTCACAAAAAAATGGTGTTTAGGTGTTTTCATAAAAATTTGTGTGAGCCAGTGGGTTTATAACACATTAATCTAATAATCACCAGTAACTGTTAAAGCCAAATAATACAAAAATGGTGGGCATATTTTAGTTCTGGTCATATAATCTATTAAATTTACATATACCCATATCTTCAGTTCCATTGGGGCATATTATTCACAAAGCAAGATATTTTTGAGGTAACTTCCAAAACCTCATTTTTGCCATTTAACTTTCAAAAAACATTACTGCACACCTATTCTACAACACTGATAATGTAACAACAGAACAAACTTTCATTAAATTAAAATTCTAACTTAAAAATAAGTCACTATTGATAAAGCAGTAACAAATAATCAAAACAGTATTCTTTATAAATATCTCTCTAATTTACTTTTTAGAGCAAAAATATTTTTTTAATACATTGGTTGTTTCAATACTCATGAACATTGAAATAAAATCTTACTTTGTACTTGGTATAAGGATGTAAACCATATATAACAACACGACTAGCTGATATTGGTTCTTTCATTGGTTTGTAGTATTCCCAACTTCCAGGTATGGAATGATACTTCCACTGTACCAGATATGTGACGTTGTCATAAAGTGGTTCTTGGGACCATTCTATTATCACTGATTCATTGGTTCTCGAATTTCCTACAAGATATGGGGGCGAGGGTTTTCCAATTTCTCCTGAATGAAAGAATAAAGCATTTTTTATTTATCAAATAATTTATAACATCCCTTGCTTTGTAGATGACAACATAAATGGCAAAAAAATTTAATAATTGTGTAAACCCAATGATCAGACTTGAGCTTTGTTTTATAATACTCTATTTTTTCCAAACACACTGGAATATATCAGTAGTACTAATGTAGAAAACATATGGCTTTAACATATCTCTTCCTTGGAAACTTTATAACACATTTCTAACAGCCTGTACTGCAAGTTTTACCTAAACAATTAATCTAGAAATTATTTACTATATACCATCCCAAAAACTATTAAAAGATTAGAGTAAAAGCATACCTTTAAGCTTTGCTACGTATAAATAGATGGCCAGGTTACACCCCATTGCACAATAAAGTGTCTGAAAAATTAGAAGGTATAGTTTTCATTGTTCATTCATAAAAAGAAATACAATATTTTCATATTTAATAATTAATTTACAATATCTCATGCCTAAATAATGATAACATAGTTGCCCAAAAATCTGAGAAACAGGATCCAACTTGAATTCGTTTTATAGCTTTTTAAAATCAAAACAACATTAAAACATCATAGTAGCACTGATTTATGAAGTACAATCACATAAAACTTAAACTTAACTTTTTGTTTTGGGAACCCTAAAAAATACTAACAAAATGTCTTTGTATATTGGATCAGTTCTAACAGTTAGAAAACTATATCAATTTTAACATCGTCTTCAGCAAAGTCTAAGGAGCTGACTGATTAAACAGATTTTCTGAGTATGCACTAAAAGGGATATTTATCTATTATTTAAAACTATCTACCATTTCTACCTTGGCTACATACTTTTACAAAATAATTCCAAAAGTATTCACTTTATTAGAAACACACAAAACATTCAATTTTTCATTCTACTATATGTAACTAAGAACCTACTCCTGTTAATAAAAACTTCTAAATAGAAATGTCTTCCATTTTTTAACTTAAAAAAATAGCTTATTTCTATCCACACCATACATCTAACAAAATACGATAGTTATGCAAAGACAGACACAATAATCAAGTTGAGCATTTGTGAAAATTAGGCACTCAAAATAAAAAGCTTAGAGACGAAACTATTCAAATGTGTAGTTAATTCAAAGTTCAATCTGGTATGAGTAAAAGTAAAACCTTCCAAATCAGTTTACATCTGACAAAGCTATACATAAGAACCAACATAAAGCCATTTTGACACATTAAATTAACCAACGACCACACAAGGTGAGTTAAAACTAAAAGATAAAGATTTGATCTTTATTTTAATTTTAAAGAACAATCTTTTTGACTGGTGAATAACACATCACAAGACGAGCAAATATGCTTATTAGGCCTAAAAGAATGTAATAATAATAATTATGTTTTACTGCAAGTGCTACCCCAAAACAAAAGTGAATAAAAATAGCATTCCAATAGCAGAGATAATATTTGACTGCTATACTACAGAGAACTCGACATAGGGGTGTGACTGTCAACTGTTTTATGTTTTCTTCACAAACTTGTGAGGGAGGGCAGCATCCAACCGAAGCTGATGAAAAAGTATACAAATAATGCAGTGATGTTAGCTGATAAATATATCAACTGGCAACAGTAATGCATACTATCACTGTACCATTCCCCCTAAAAGAGTAGAAGCATCCAGCGCTAGTTTGTTTGTTTCGGAGCTTGTATAAAGCTACACAAGGGCTATCTGCGCTAGATGCTCCTAATTTTCGACAGTGGACTTGAGAGAAGACAGCTAATCAACATCACCCACAGTCAACTCTTGAGCGGAATCTATTGGAATACTATAAGTAAAATTTGACCACCAATCTTATAACGCAGCATAAATACATATTTTGTGGCAACGGAAAGCGCACCGTTTAGTACACAGTCCTGCATACTATTCACAGGACACATAACATAATGAACATAACTTTTAACTATTACTTGAAAACTTTTCTATTTTTTTAAGTTTTAAGAAAATAGCTAATTTCTATCCACTTCCACGTTGAGGGGGGTGGGGTGATGATGTAGTAGTAGTTTCAGTTTGAATGGAATTATCGCTTGTTGAAGGAGAAACAAATAAATATAAACAACGAATAAGAACATATATTACACTTTATACTAAATTTCCGAGTTTACGTTAAGACATATTTTCGAAAAAAACAACAAGTGAGTGATACATGCTCGTTCAAGAATTACCCGTTCTCTGTAAATAAAAATACTTTTTTTTAGAAACTAGTGTTACTATTATATTTTCTTAATACCTAAAACATGATAAAACTCAGTCTAATATAGTACAGTATATCTACACACAGACATAGATATGGTCATTTGAACTGAGATTTTCAATCCAGTTAGAAGATCCTTATTTGTTACATCAGCTGTCTTATTGTTTATTTTAAGCTTCTTTTTGTTAAGTGCATGTTAAGTTTAGGTTTGGCTAAAGTTTTTGTTGTCTTGATCGTAATACGTTACTTCTGAAAGTAAATAATAATTGAAGATACAGCTAGTATAAAGTTGTATTATGGTATTACTTGTGAATAAATTACTCGCATGTGCTCACTAATAAGTACTGATAGGAAATGAACTGTTTTGTTCTTCAATCTCACAAGTTTCTCCTTGCTTCACGTTTTCACATTCATACTTAACTGATAAACTACAAACAATTTAAATCTATACCATTCTGCGTGTTGTTTATAATGTCTTTTCTTTCTTTTTTTCGAGGAGGGGGTGATTACGTAACAGCGATTTCAGATTTCATAACTTCTTGCTTAAATTTGTGTAAACCATTTCTAATTATCCCTATTATAAAGCTGAGGGAAAAAACCGGTAAGCAGCACCTACTTCCTACGTGGCTACTCTTAACCGAATACCAGGAATGAATGTTTCAGTTGGTCATGCCCAACCCGAGCTATCATTCTAAAGTTATTCGAGAATCCCAGACTAAGTTATTCCCGACCCCATCTTTCTAATAACTTCATAACTAACATTAAACGTTTTGAACTACAATATTATAATAATTAGACGCCAGTATATGATCTTAGCTCTATTTCACAATTCAAATATTCATTTTGTATAAATAATGCATTTATCAGTGTTATTGGGCAGTTTCTCACAAATAAAAGCTCCCCAGTGGCACAGCGGTATGTCTGCGGACTTACAACGCTAGAAACCGGGTTTCGATACCCGTGGTGGGCAGAGCACAGATAGCCCATTGTGTAGCTTTGTGCTTAATTGCAAACAAACAAACACAAATAAAATAGCCAATAAACACACTATTAAAATAAATACTACGTTATAAGTAATGTTAACATATTTGGAACAAACGTAGGAACACCAAACTCGTGATAACTCAGTATTTAAAACAAGATCCGTTATTTACAATGCATTTCAAAAAATTTTCGATTTTCAGAGGAGTATGTTTGTTTGTTTGTTGACAAGCGTAAACCTACAAAATGGGCTACATGTGCTGTGCCCACCACGGTACCCGGTTTTTAGTCTCCACACTTACAGCTGAGCCACTTGTGGAGAGGTGGGGTGGAGGACCACTACGATTAATCTAAGTAAGCCACTATTTTTGTACAACTTATATCACTTTACAAATTTCTCTAGTAGTAGGATTTTGATTTTAAAATAACTACGATTTATTTAACTCAAGGAGGGCGTAATGGTAACTGTTATCCAAAACTGAGTGCCAATATTTTAATATTGAAATAGAGTGGAACTTTATTAAAAGAGCATTGTCGTCCATCTTAAAGTCAGAATATAAACCTTAACCAATAGGTAGATGTCGTTCTCTTCTAGCGTAATGCTACACATTGGGCTATTTGTACTGAGTCTGCTGTAAGGCTAGAACCTCGAATTTTATCGTTATAAGCCCCGTAACTCACTGCTGAGTTACTGGGGGAATATAGATTGGTGCGTGTACGTCAGTGTAATTTTATATCTATATCTTTTACCTTAATGAACAGATCCTGAATGAAATCCGAGAAGTCTTGCTTACTCTGGTCTTTGACAAAGAACTATACGTAGTGACTCGAAAGCAGTTTTAATGACATCTTTCTACGCTAGATTTTACTTATACGTATAAGTCAACTCTGAAAGTCCACCTCAAGTTAGTTTTAAAAACCTCATTTTTCCACTCAAGCTCTACTCAACTCAAAATATTAGTTTAGTGGTAGGTTAAATTATGTCTGAATGCAATTGTCTTAACTCTTTCTTAATTCTAGTTATATCAAATTTACGCCCAAGTTGATTTATAAATAGTTTATTGAAGTATTTTCAAATGTTATACAAGGGTTGCACGTCAGAGCATAGGTTTATATTGTCAATATTAGGGAATTCCGAACTTCAAATCAACGCATCATCGAAAATTTCCAAATAGTCCTAGCTTTCGTGTCATTGCAAATCGTAAAGTCAATATTATCGCGGTATACTGTATTATTTTATGACAGTTCCGGTGGCGTAACTAGGTCTCAAAGGTACTGAGGCAAAAACAAATTGTTACCCCTCACAGTAAAACTTTTCCGAGTTTCAAAATATTCCCCCTTAATTTCAATATACGAAATTTGAAGGGCCACTGGATTGTTGTAAAGGCTGCATTGCAGTTAACAATAGTTTGTTTGTTATGGATTTCGCGCAAAGCTACACTATCTGCGCTAGCCGTCCCTAATTTAGCAGTGTAAGACTAGAGAAAAGGCAGCTAGTCATCACCACCCACCGTCAACTCTTGGGCTACTCTTTTACCAACAAATAGTGGGATTTGCCGTTACATTATAACGCCCCCACGGCTAAAAGGGGCGAGCATGTTTGGTGTGACGGGGATTCGAACCCGCGACCCACAGATTGCGAGTCGAGCGCCCTAACCACCTGGCCATGGTTAACAATAATGTAAAAGCTTACAACTGTGAACTATTATTAGCCTATTATAGTCGCTATGATAACTTTTGAGAAAATAAATGACTAACGTGTTTGTCACGTAGATGTCTTGTATTGTGCGTGCACGTGCTCTTCAATTACGCACAAATATACGAGTGTATTGGAAGAGAGAGAGATTGGTTTTCAGTTTGATTTATTTATCGTCAAACAAGAATTAGTTAACTTTTAAACCAATTTTCTGGTTTCATCTGATGTGTCCTTCAGCTAGACGTTCGAAGTTTTGAGGATTAATATAAGAAAAAGTGTTCTTCTCTTAGAAAGATGTCCAAAAGTTAATTTAGAGTGCAACAGTATATTAACTGGAAAATGTGATGACATTATACCAAATTATCAAAATTATTGCAGTTTGAGGTAGGAAAATGACTTTTATTTTGATTATTACATAATGTTCGAATAATAGCGATATAATAGTTCGGTATGTATCATGTAGGTATAAACTGTCAACGAGGAAATGAGATTGAAGTTACGATAACTGAAGCTTCTTGATTAACTTTAGAAAATTAGTGATACAAAAACGTTCAGAACTAGAACACAGGAGAACAGTGAGAATTGGTATAAACTGAATGTAAGTTAGTGCATGTTTATCAGTTTACATCTAAAACAGGTTACAAATAGTTGACAAAGTAACAGTCTCGAGAGAAACGGGAAGGACGGGAGAATAAAGTTAAATTAACCTTGTCAGGCTTAGATTTTTGAACAATTATAAAATATAGTATTGTTACGTCTCCGTTTGTTAATTGATTTTCCGTAACTTCGTTCCGACGAAACTTAAGCGACACAAGTCCTTTCTTAATAAAACTGGTTTATTCTTTCCGAATATAACTTTACTGATACACTCAACTTCAACAATCGCGCTAAACAAACACTATCACGAACGAACGTTAACTTCAACAATACCCTGTGACTGCAGTTCAATTACTCACTGTCTACACACACATTACAATATTCTCTCGTCACGTTGTCACCCTCTTTTATATACCAGTCTACCCTCTATCTAGTCAATACTAGAGCATTCGCCAAGATACGGGATAGTTCTAGAAAGTAGAGGGCGTGAGAATCACATGATCTCGATGAAGCAACAGTATAAACGTTTTTAACTTATTTCAAATTTACACATGTTGTTCAAGTAAACGTAAATTCAGTCTAAGTTAATATATCCTTTTTCTAGTCTTTTTTTTTTCATTCACCTACTCAGATTAGCCCATTAAACGAAAAATTTAAAACTCAGTATAAGTTATCTATGGCCTTACCTTGCCATTGGAATCATAAAATTCAATATAACTTATATCTAGTCTTACCTTGCCATTGGCATCATTATTGTTTGCTCGACTTCCATTCTAGAGTGATTGGATAAAAAAATATATATATATTAGACTTAACACTTATATAATTTTGCTTGTAAAACAATAATGTTACTAGTAGCAAAACTGATAAAACCCACAAACGTTAAAATGTATATGGTGTTGTGGAGGAGGCTGGTAACACAATAACAAAATGAAATAATTTTACTTTAATTATAAGAGCAGAGAATATTTACTTTCTATTATCAACAGAGTTATAAAGACGCAGACATTAAAATTGTTTCCGAACTTATGAAAACGTAAGATAACAAATACGCCTAATATGTCGTTTACTTTAATTTAGCACCTTTAACCTAAACATTTGGTTTTATGCATTGGAGCAAGAATTTTTCTTATCCTAAAGAAAATAAGTGAGATTATAATTTATTAAGCTATAACTATACACGAGAGACCATAGGACATTATCCTCGTACACCATTATACCCAATAGCAGAAATACCCGCCCTCTGGGCAGGTATAACTGCTAGTTTCTGCGGAAGATAAGTGGGCCTGCGACCTTTTCTGGAATTGTCTGACAGTTCTACAACAATGTACTCATACTTGACATTCAATAATGTTCACCATCCATGAGAAAAAGGATTTTATTGAAATTTTAGTTTAAAAATGAGCTATCATCACAACATTACATCACAGAGTAGATTTTATTGAAGTATTTCTTTGTAGGCGCTATTATCAATGAAAGTGCCTTGCTTTTCTATTGCAACACTCATGAGATTTTCACTAAAGAAAAACAAATAATATTTTTAAAGTTTGTTTTTTGATTGTTTTATATTTGAAACTTACTCCTTTTTTGTAATTTTTATTGGTTAAATCTGAAACATCATTTTTGTGGAAAATTTCAATTGTTTTATTTATTGCTCAGCTATAAAAATCCTACCTAGTTATAAAAATATTACCCAGTTATGATTGGTGCGGTAGTTTCCGAGATATATATATATAATTTTGAAATATTATCCAAATATGCACAAAGACAAAACATAAAAAAATAAACGTCAAAACCAATAAAGTCATAAGTGATATATAACTGCATTCCAGTATTAAAAAAAGTTGATGAAGATATTCCTTCTCTTCAGTCATACAACAACGCAGATGATAATCTGCTGTGCAACAACAGATGAACAAGTCTGAAATTATCAGAGGGCCATATTCTGGCGTTTGTCCTGAACCTAACTACACATTCAATGCCTGCAACCAATCATAAGTAATAAAATCAAGGAAATAACAAACAACGTAACCGTTTATAAACCTAAAGATTTCGGAATCAAAAATAGCAAAGAAATAATATAAAAGATACAAAAATATATTAACAAAATACAATAATAAATAAATAAATATGATTATGTGGGGAACATATGTTTTGTCTTTGCGCGTGTGTGGATTACACTTTTAGATTTGATATTTATACTTGACTATTTTGTGGTTGCTGACAATTTTCGCTCATTTACACATGGTGATATTAAGTTCTTATTTTGCATGTTTACCAGTACAATATATATATATATCCATGGGAATAATGTCCTATTATGCACTTTACGCAAGGAGATATTATCCTACGGGGCTAATGAACATGGGGATTGATGTCTATACCCTGCGTCAAGTAGGCACGATTTCAGTTATATATATACTTGTGAAGTCCACAAAATTGATTTTCTGTGTTTGTTTGTAGTTAAGCACAAAGCTGTACAATTGACTATCTGTGCTCTGCCCACCACGGGTATCGAAATCCGGTTTTTAGCGTTGTAAGTCTGCAGATATACCGATGTGCCATAGGGGGCCCACACAACTGATTAGCGCATTGAAGAATTAAACCTAAACAACAATACCTAAACTTCTCGTATCAACTATCGACCTGTAAACAAAATTAAAGGTTTCATCTATTCATTACCCAGAAGCTGTTTGTAATTGTTAAGATTTTATTATGCTACAGCTGGAAATCAATATCACAAAGTTATACTGGGAAGTCACCTGCTCCGATGACGAATTGGAGCTAGAGGGGTTATACTTTTCCATGCCCTTATATAGCATATATATATATATGTGTGTGTGTGTGTGTGTGTGTGTGTGTGTGCCCTCAAATCCATTTGTGCGACGTCAAAGGAGTCCCTCTAATGGATCAATATTTTATCAGTTTCAGTTACCTACTTTGTTTAGAGATACATGTCGTGTTAATTGAATTGTCTCAGCTTATATTCCACCATACCCAAATAATGAAACCTAAAAGAGGAGAATTTACCAAACTGTCTTCTTAATTAATTCAAATAAAGTTCTATTCACCTAACTGCTCATGGGATTTCCTGCTTCAAAGTTGGATTAATAATTATGTCTCCGCATAGGGAGGGAGACATTGCATTTCCTGTGGGTTTTTTCTTCATGTTCTTTCATATTCTTTCCAATAGCTACAATTTTGCGCCACTCCTTTATTTTCGGTGCAATCGTCTTGAAACCTAAACGGCATATACTTTGGTTTCATACTCCCAAAGCCCTTTTCATTTTGTAAACTTAGACCTTATTACGGTTTACGGGAGTCAAGGATCAAAATACAAAAACACATAGTCTAGCCTACAGTTCCCTTATATTTCCATGAATCCAAATTATACTTGGCATAAAAACCTTGCGACAACCCTCACAGATTAAAGTAGACAGATTTTGTATTTGTGTCTTTTTATTTTACAGAAAGTTAAAAGTATAAAAAGTCGCAAAATCAGGGGTTTTGTTCCGCTATTTCTTTATATTTCGATCAATCTAGATTAGACCTTGCGGAAAAATAACTTTCAACAATTAAGATCGGTTTAAGTAGACAGACGTAAGATTTGTACCTTTCTTGCGATTTTACAGAGGTCAAATGTGGAATACATTTTGCAAAGTTAAGGCTTTAAGGTCTATCATTCCTGTATATTTCGACCAATCTAGATGAGACTTTGCACAAATATACCTTACAAAAATCCCGATAGAGCGAAATAGATATATTTGTGATTTGTGCCTTTCATTTCACTTTTCAGGTATCAAAGGTTCAAAAAATTGCAATGTATATAATAGTAACTTTCGATCAGAGTAACCTATGTACTTAAAGCTTAATTAAAAAAAAAACCGTGTCCAGCAAAGTAGGAGGAGGGAATATTGTTTGTTTATTTTGAATTTCGCGCAAAGCTACACGAGGGCTATCTGTGCTAGCCGTCCCTAATTTAGCAGTGCGAGA